AGAAGCAGACATGGGGAGTGTCACTAATTTTTTGTCAATTGTGGAACATAAGTGCAAAGATTCATAAAATACTGCTGCTGAAATCTAGGACTGCCTTATATCCAGAGTAACGCACCAGGGGCAGCTTCACTGAGGCCAACTTGTTAACAGCTGGATTAAATGTGAGCATCTCATTACTGCCCAGTATAATAACCCTTCTCTATCTTAGATGATGTGGATGTATCTCTTTTCACTGCAGCCAGATGGGTTTAAATGAAGCAGCATCCCCCAATCCTACAGTGGCCCTTGAAACCATCCAGTCAGCCTGGAGAATACTGAAAACTTTCTGGGAGGTAAAAGAGCTATGGTGGCTTGTGAGCCCCCCACAGTGATGGGGTTCATCTGTGGCTAGCTGAAAGAGATGCCCGAGAGGGGAGTGGGGGCACTGGAGAAGGTAAAGGACAGAGGAGACAACAGAATATGTTACATAGGGAAAGGAACATGGGTTACAGGGAACTGGGAGAGTACATGGCCTGTTTGTCCACTTACCAGAACTTCACCATTGTGTCATGGTTGGTGAAATTGAATGCATTTCAGGGTGAGTCTCTTGACTGGAATAGTATTGGACATTTAGGAGACCAAATGACTTGTCCTCCTCCTTCAGCTTCCTTGTCTAGGCTTCCTAAAGGCAGGAACTGCATCTGTTTACCATGGTATCCCCCAAGACATCGTAGGTAGTAAATAGTGAGTGAATAAAATAAATGCATGAATAGTTTTTGATATACCTGACTTAAATAGGCCCTGTTGACCTACTGACTGCAGAAAAAAACAAATAGTCTAAGTAGAGAATCCTTTCATAAGCCATTCCAGTTAGGAGGCAGCATACTGATGCAGTTAAAAGAGTGGGCTTTGGTTTTTATCAGATATAGGTTTCAAAACCCACCTCTAGAAATCAGATTTCTGTTACTTAATCTTGATTTTGTTACTTAATTTCTGTAAGGCTTGATTTTATCATCTGTGTTATAAAGTATATGGTCTGTTTCATAGGGTCATTGTAAGGTGTAAATCTAAAGTGCTTAGCATAGTACCTAGCACAAAGTCAATACTCTGTAAGTAGTGGCAATTATTATTATCAGCTGTAATAGTTGTTATTGTTATAACTATTGCTCTCTGCCACTTGTTATATCATGATCAGGGTAGAAAAACAAAATTGAGAACAGTCTTTACTCATGATTTCACAATTTTCTACATAAACCATGGTCCTCTGCTCTGGGCCATTCCATGTCTTAGAGATTAGGATTTGGGAGGTTGGTCTGAACTCTATTGCCCTAGATTTATGCTTATTGTCTTTTTTGTCTTCAAGGTATATCAGGACTTCATGCCTCCTAAACCCACTCTTACCTTTATTTTAGCCACCTATGATTCAGACTATCCTTTCTAAAGCACTGCTCTCGTGATTTCAATCCATCTCTTCTCCTCCTGCCTTTACCCCATGTTTCCTCATTGCTTATCAGATGAAGGCCAGTTGCTTAGGCTAGCATGCAAGGTTTTGATTTATTTCCACTGCTAAATCCCTCTCAGTCTGGTTTATCCATATTGGCCTAGGATGGTTTAAAGTTCTGCCATCTTCCTGCCAGTTGTCCAAATCTCAAAAAACCAGTTACTGTATGTTTAGGGCAGCGTTAAAAGTAGAGGGAGCTATAGTCTTTCAGTCGATCCTGAGGAGGAGTTGGCTTCTATATTTATAGGGGCCAAGAGTAAGTCTTCAGCCAGTTTTGTGGTATAAGGTCAGCAGTTTGATTTTCAGCAGTTCTTCCTCTGCCACAGTTTGCTCTTGCTGTAGAATTGATAGATTAAAATGCCTCCTTAAATATGTCTCCAGGCTTCTTTATTGAAGTTTAGGCCCTTTTATTTTGAAGATTCAAATAATAACATGACATCTTTGGATATCTTTGGAGTCTTAGACTAAGCATTTTTAGAGCTATAAAAGCATCTTCATGGCTACTCCCATTGAATTCACTCCGTTTAGGGGTTTATCTTAGACCTGGTGCGGTGTTTTCCTTATTGATTGTTTTGGGAGTTGGAGTGACTATCATTTAAATTTTACCCACTTGCTCAGCCTATATTGATTCCATATTGGCTTGTTTGACCTTTTCATAGATAGCTAGTCATAACTACAACTATAAATGAGCTAAAATAATTTTAATCCCTAGTTAATTCATTCACATATAGACACTGAGTCCCTACTGTATGTAAGAAACTGTACTATATATTGCAAGGCATAAAAACTAGTAAGAATAATAGGTAATGTTTATTGGTTATTTTATAAGTGCCAAGCATTGTCCTAGGGGCTCTGTAGTCATTATTTTTATTTAATCCTCACATCCCTTCTATAAGGTACATATTATTATCATCATTCTTCAGACAAGAAAACTGAGATGTGGGAAAATTAACTTGCCAAGTCACGTATTTATGGTGTGCTGGATAACAACATAGTAGAATGTTCATGATTTTGTTCACATACAATCACTGCCTTCAAGAGATTTACTGTATGGTAACAGAGATTAAACATGAACCTATAAAAAATCCAAGTTAAAAAGGGCAAAAGATCTGAGTAGACATTTCTCCAAAAAAGATATAAAAATCACTGATAAGCACATGAAAAGATGATCAACATCATTAGCCATCCAGGGAAATACAAATTAAAATCACAGTGAGCTACTGTGACATACCCACTAAGACGGCTAAAATATAAAAGACAACTAATAAGTGATGGTGCAGATGTAGAGAAATTGGAACCCTTATAGACCAATACTGGTGATGAAAAAGTGGTGTAGCCACTTTGGAAAATAGTCTGGCTGTTCTTCAAAAGGTTAAAAAAAATAGTTAACATATGACCCAGCAGTTCTACTCCCAGGTATACACCCAAGAGAAATGAAAACATACGTCCTCACAAAAACTTACACATGACTGTTCTTAAAAGCATTTTTCATCATAACCAAAAAGTAGAATCAAACCAAATCTCTACCAACTGACAAAGGATAAATAAAATGTGGTATTTACATACAATAGAACATTATTCAGCAACAAAAAGAAATGAAGTGCTGATACATGTTATGACACGGATGAATCTTGGAAACGTTATTCTGACACATAAGTGAAAGAAACCAGTCATAAAAGAACCCTACTGTATGATTCTATTGCTATGAAATCCTCCAAAATAGGCAAATCTGTAGAGATAGAAAGTAGATTTGTGGTTGCCAAGAGCTAGAGGGAAGGGAGAATGGGTAGTGGTTGCTAATGAGTACAGGGTTTCTTTTTGGCAGGATGAAATTGTTTTAAATTCATTGTGATGATGGTTGTACAACTATGAATATACTAAAAAGCCATTGAACTATACACTTTAAGTCAGTAAATTGAATGATAGGAAAATATATGAAGTATATATCAATAAAGTTATTTTTAAAAACATGAACCCAAAGTAACTAAAATATAAAGTAGCATTTGGTAACTCATACAGAAACATAACCAAAAGCTATCAAAGTTCAGGGGGAAAAGACCATTTAGGCTACCACAGTTAGGGTAGCCTTCAGAAGACAATGGGATTTGGATGGAGCTGGGATGAGATATACAAAATTGAAGGAAAGAAGAAAAATATTTCTTAGAAAGCATAGCAAAAAGAAGGAAAAAAATTACAGCATATATTTGGGAAATGGTACGGGGTCTGGTTTGGCTGGCATGCTTAGTGCTGGTGGTTAGAATAGGCAAGTATTGATATGCTTTAGATAATTATGAGAGAAAATATTTAAAATTTTAACTTTGCCCCTCAAAATCTAAGGTGTGTTGTCAAGATACAGTACAGAGGAAGAGTAGTAGACTTTGAAATGATAGGTTTGTCTAGACCTTGGAGAAAGAGGTATGAATACTAGGTAGGAAATCACCTCTGATTCTGCCCTCACTGGAAGCTCCAGATCCCATTTCCTTATTAGCTCGTGTTTCCTTATTAGCCTTGCAGTCTTGGGAGAGTCTGTGGATTGTGGCACCTGTAGAAATAGTCTTATATCTGAGTACAAAGTATTCCTCATGGTTTCTCAATACTGTGCTGGCATCAAGATATTCCTCCTCTGCTTCAGGTGAAAGTCAAATGTAAGTCAAGCCTCAGCCCCCATAGCATGAATTCGAGAAGTGACACAAACTGGTCATAATTATTTCATTCCATTACATTCCAGTTGTTTTCTTGAGAGCCTACTATGTTAAAAAAAATTGTAGTAGATGCTGTTGGGGCTAAACAAAAACAAAACCGAAACAAAAATTCCTCAACAGGTTGTGTTAATGGATATAGCTTTATTTTGAAACTGCATAGGTGTTTCCTTCACTCAGCTACTGATTAGAGAAACTGAGAGGTTCTGGAGACACAAAACCAGGAGCTAACTGCTTCATTCATAGTCTGATGGGGAGAGGAACTTAGGGAAAAGCTCCCTTTTGCACCCATTCCCAGCAACAGGCCTCCTATTCTTGTCTTCTTCTTATTTACCCTGTTGTAATAAGTATATTTACCAAGGGAAGTGTTCCTTCAAACCCTTCTCTATCGTTTACCTGGACTGTGCTGAATGTCAGGACTAGGTCAACCCAGCTCAGACCCAGATGTAACCCATGTGCTGTGGGGTTGGAGAGAGAACGGTTCCCTAACAAAGAATTGGCCACTACTGAACTTGAGCCTCAAGGGTAATGGAAAAGGCTTCAAACAGGAGATACAAACCACGCTTATGCCTAAGAGGTGGAGAGTAAAGAACAAATCTCACTCTCTCCTTCCTGTACTGTCACTCACTGTACCACATTGTATGTGGTCTCTTCATTTCTTAATTTTTTCAATTATAAAGTATTTATTGTAATGTAAATGTAAAAGGTCACTTTAGAAAATTCAGAGATAAGAAAGGAAAACAACTGAAATCACACACAATCTCATCATCCAGAAACAACTATGGTTTACATTTTGGCGTATTTCTTTCTTTTCCTATATGAACATATTTCTTCCCACAAAGTTGAAATCATACATATATGTATATGTATATTAAGTTTTATATTTTTATTTTTTTACCAACAGTTGAATAGTAAGCATTATTCTGATGTTATTTAATTATTCTTCAAACATGTTACTTGGAACAAATAGGTTGCAGAATAATTCCCCAACATTGAAAAATTATGGAGTTCCTTTTGATCCACTCTTCTACCATAATAGCTTGCAAACACTTTTTTTTTTTAGCTAACAAATACAGCCATTGAAATATTAAGTCTCATGGAACTCTTTCCTGAGCTTTTGTAGCAACGTTTGGTAATAACAGTATCACCAAGCACGTTCCCTGGGGATAGCAACAGGTGTCCCTTCAAAGACATGCTGACTCCACCTCACTTGCTTCTCACCTGGTTGATCAGAGGAACCAGCTGTAATACAGGTAAGCTCTTTTGATAAAGAGACTATTTATTTTGGGAGAAATTGTTGACTGTGTTTGTAAACTGCAGAGTCAAATGATGGATAATGTGACTGAAGTGTTGAGGTATCTACATTCCCTTGACACTTTGTTGACACCTAGAGCTGGTTCATTAGAGTTCTCATTGTTCTTCTACAAACCTAGAGGTGAAAAGGGTACAATGCAAAATCTGTGTGCACTGCTAGAATTTTCTGTTTTGGGATAGTTTATACTTGTCTTTAGTAGTATATGATTTTTTTTTTTCTGTCTTTGTTGTTTTTCTTTCTTCTTCTTCCTGGTTTTTGTTTTGTTTTATTTTGTCTTATTTGTTTGTTTGGTTTCTTTAGATGGAGTTTCATTCTTGTTGCCCCGGCTGGAATGCAATGGTGCAATCTCGGCTCACTGCAACCTCCACCTCCCGGGTTCAAGCAATTCTCCTGCTTCAGCCTCCTGAGTAGTTGATATTACAAGTGCCCATCACCATGCACGCCTGGCTAATTTTTTGTATTTTTAGTAGAGATGGGGTTTCACCATGTTGGCCAGGCTGGTCTCAAACTCCTGACCTCAGGAGATCCATCTGCCTCGGCCTCCCAAAGTGCTGGGATTACAGGTGTGAGCCACCATGCCCGGCCTCTTGTTCCTGCTATAAAGTGAAACTTTGTAAGAATCTTACACCAAATTCAATTCGATTCAGTTATTTCAACAAATACTTACTGGGTGCCTACAACTTGTAGAACACCATGATGGATATATGAAAGACAAAGAGAACCTAGCCATGCGCTTAGGAAACTTACAGTCTAGCAGGGCTGATTAGATAGGCATATAAATAACTGCAAGACAAAGAAGACCAGGCTATAAGAATATTTAATGAAGGAGAAATACTCACAAAATAGTGTCATGAGGAAAATTAAACTAGTCACTAAACTGTATATACAAATTGAGTTTTCTGAAAAACTACACATATAAAAAACTGAAATACTCTAAAATGGTAGTAGTGGCTGTCTGGGTGATGAATTAAAAGTGATTTTAATGTTCTTTATTCTTTTCTATTTTTTCAAAAAATTATTTACAGGGAAACTGTGCTACTATTAGGATAATTAAAAATAAGCTTTACTAAGTGAGAGTGTTATGCAACAATAGAAAGTGTAGTGCAAGTGGTGAGGAGCAAAGATTATAACTGACTGGGGTGGGGGAATTAGAAAGGCTTTAGGATTTATGTCTCATAATGATGAAAAACTTTTTTTTTTTTTTTTTTAATCTCCCTCTGTCACCAGGCTGGAGTGCAGTGGCACGATCTCAGCTCACTGCAACCTCCGCCTCCCTGGTTCAAGTGATTCTGTTGCCTCAGCTTCCCAAGTAGCTGGGACTACAGGCATGTGCCACCACTCCCAGCTGATTTTTGTATTTTTAGTAGAGATGGGGTTTTACCATGTTGGCCAGGATGGTCTCGATCTCTTGACCTTGTGATCCACCTGCCTCGGCCTCCCAAAGTGCTGGGATTTTTTCGCTTGTTTGATTTCTTTTTTTGAGACAGAGTTTTGCTCTTGTTGCCCAGGCAGAAGTGCAATGGCACGATCTTGGCTCACTGCAACCTCTGCCTCCTGGGTTCAAGTGATTCTCCTCTCTCAGCCTCCTGAGTAGCTGGGATTACAGGCGTGCGCCACCATGCCTGGCTAATTTTTTGTATGTTTAGTAGAGACGCAGTTTCGCCATGTTGACCAGGCTGGTCTCGAACTCCTGACCTCAGGTGTTCCACCCACCTCGGCCTCCTGAAGTGTTGGGATTATAGGCTTGAGTCACTGCGCCTGGCCGAAAAGCTTCTATATCTTAGAAATAGTAATAAAGTTTTACTGAATTGAAAAGACATTATATTTCTACAATTTTTTTCCCATGGCATTTGACTATAGTCTCTGTCTCCATTAATGATAGGCTGGGTGTAGTGGTTCATGCCTGTAATCCCAGCACTTTGGGAGGCTGAGGTGGGCAGATCACTTGAGCCAGGAGTTCAAGACCAGCCTGGACAACATGGTGAAACCCCATCTCTACTAAAAATTACAAAAATTAGCTGGGCGTGGTGGCATACACTTGTAATCCCAGCTACTGGGGAGGCCAAGGCAGGAGAATCGCTTGAATCCTGGATATGGAGGTTGCAGTGAGCCGCAATTGTGCCGCTGCACTCCAGCCTGGGCAACAGAGCAAGACTCTGTCTCAAACAACAACAACAACAACAACAACAACAACAACAACAACAAAACCTATAGCTCTAGTAGGTGCTATCTGCCATAGTATCTTTTAAAATTTATATTATTTTAGATATGTCTTTAAAATATTTTACTACGTACCATGAAGAGATATTTTCTAAATCAGAAGATGATGTCAATCACTAATCAGATTTATAGAGTATATAGACTTGGCAAATAATCTTACCACTTGTTCCACTGAACCCAGAAATGCTTTATTTGGTCATTGGCTGGAATGGCTACTCCTTTGTCCTCCTTTTCTTCTGTATTTCAGATTTCTGTATCTGTTACTGTTCAACCCACAGAGCACATATTTTTCAGTGTCTAATAGGCTCTAGAAAGAGTTCCTAAATATTCTGCAAGTCATCTGCTTCATCAGCCCATGAGCATCCTGTTTTGGTGGATGCCCTGGGTGATGTGGCTTCCCATGGTGTGCGGGTGACATAGCAGAGGTTTGTCAGGTCAGAGTTTAGGTGGAATGTACAGGCCTCAGCTAACCTACAGAGTGAGAGTCTTGTCTCTGTGTAACCTGGATGAATTATTTATTTTCCCTCTGCCTTAGTTTCTCACTTATAAAATGAAGATAATAATAGTACCTACTTTATAGGCTCATTTTATAGATTAAATTTGGCATTTGTAAACATTTGATGTAAAGTTGCTATGATGATGATGATGTATCGTAGATAGACTTGAAGGACTGTGGTAGAATTTTTTTTTTATCCTAAATAGATAACAGGAAGAAGAGGAGAAACTAACATATGCTGAGCAAGTACAATTATGTTATCTTTGTTTTCTTGGAAATAGTGAGGGGCCAAAGAACAAGTAAAGAAATAATTGCCATGCAGTATGAATCACGCAGCAATAAAAGTATGTTCAAAATAAAGAAGAAGAAATGATGAACTGCATATGGGTCCGGGAAGGCTTTGAGAAGTGCTACTTGGGCAGAGTTGCTTTTTGTTTTGTTTTGTTTTGTTTTGTTGAGACAGGTCTCGCTGTGTCACCCATGCTGGAGTGCAGTGGTGCGATCTCAGCTTACTGCAACCTCTGCCTACTGGGTTCAAGCGATTTTCATGCTTCAGCCTCCTGAGTAGCTGGGATTACAGGCGTGCACCACCACGACCCAGCTAATTTTTTGTATTTTTATTAGAGATGGGGTTTCGCTATGTTGGCCAGACTGGTCTCAGATTCCTGACCTCAAGTGATCTGCCTGCTTTGGCCTTCCAAAATGCTGGGATTACAAGCATGAGCCACCGAGCCCAGCCTTAGGCAGAGTTTTGAATAAGTGAATAGTTGGGGAGTGGATGAGGGCAGTGGTGATAAGGGATATGCCAGGCACGGAGGATTTGGACAGCACCATAACTTTGGGATGGTAGGTGGAACGTAAAGTACAGGGGAATAGTGAGAGATAAGGTCAGAGAGGGAGGCTGGATTCTGTCTGTGAGAATCAGTGACTTTACCTGTATGTAGATGTGCATTTATGTCAGAGTTTCTCGAAAGGGCTGAGTGTTCCTAATTCCTTTATTACACCCCTTCCAAAGCTATCCTAAGCTTGTTAATGCCATTCCTATTAAACTGCGGCCCTGGCTGGGCAGACTCATTTAGTACTGTCTCTTGGTTATTTTTCTCCATTTGGGAAGCATTGCAACAGGACTTCTAAGATACACTTGTAAAATCTGCTAGTTAAATGTCCTCCACTTTGGACTTGCACCAGCAACATCCAGAAAGGCCAGTAAGCATGACTTGGGAAGCATGGGAAACTGTCTTTTGTCGCTCATACATCTTCAGGGCTGACTTCAGATCCAAATGACTTCAACTGTGACTCACTTAGAGAGGCAGATTTTCATATTATAGAAAGAGAGTTCCTGGTTCATGCAGCAAAACAAACAAACCTGCACAGGATTAGCCTGTGTGAACTTGACTCAGTAGACATTCCCACATGGGGTACTGAGGTGCTGGAAGCCTGTCTACTAAAGTTGCACTGGTGGGCGTGGAATCTAAAGGGGTGTCTGTGAGGGCTATCCTGGGTCCCAGCAGCAGGTGGCTCCATGGTTATGCTGCCCCACACTTTCTTGGCTGAAGCAAATTTTCTGCCTTTCATTTTGTTCCTTACAGAATGTCCTTCTTTTTGGTGACTGCTAACATACTTCTTCACAGTGCAGGTGAGTCATTTTTCAAAAAACTTTGTGGGCTTTTATGAAATAGCTTTGGGGATAGTGAGGAAAACAGTTGTTTGAAGATAAACGACATAATCTCTCTGAACCTCATTCTTTTCATTTGTTAAATGAAAATAAATTTATTTTTTATAGGAAAAATTATATTTATTTAAAAAATCTATATTTACTTCACAGGAAACGGTTAAGAGCAGATGGGAGAAAATAACAGACGCATATTGTAAATCATTATTGTTTACTCTGCTTTCTTTTTTTAGTGAGAAAAACTTCCATCCCACCCCCCAATTTGGTTTGTCCATTTGAAGCTGTATCTGAATCTCATTCATATCTATAGTATGAACCTCCCAACCAAACCAAACCAAACAATACTAGACGCCCACTTTCAAGTGACTCTGACAAGTGCCAATTTATATAAAGTGTAGTATCCAAAATACTTGAAATCAGGTCTGTCCTGAAAAATCTGGATGGGCAGCCAACAAAGGGTTTATGTAACTCTTTTTGTTCGCAAATCTTCAAATCTCTTGGTGACAAACAATATACAGATGTTGGAAATGTTAATATGATTCAACTAACCAAAAGTCCATAAGCAAAATTTTTTAAAAAAAATACCGTGTATTCCAAACCTGGCTGTATAACTACTCCGTAAAGTGATCAAACACATTTACAGTCTTCAGGCTTATGCCATCTTCCAGAGACCTGCAGCAGTTCTGTCAGTCCCTTAAAGGTGGCAGCAACTTGAAGGCATCCTCAGGCTCCAGAGTTCAATTCAGGAGTTAGTACAAGGCCTGGTCAACCCAGGTTACATTTGCTGGCTCTTTTCTCTTGATGTTTGATTATTCTATGTGTGTGAGTGTGTGTATGTGGTGGGGAGGAGGGCAGGGGTGCCTGGATATGTGTGTGTGTGTGTGTGTGTGTGTGTGTGTGTGTGGGTAGGGGAGAGCAGTAAGCAAAGTAAGGTGGTAATCCACTCATAGTTACGAAAAACTCAACCAAATAAAGGAATAGGTATGTATGTAGGCAAGAAAGGGAACGATCTATTGGTTCTAATCTCACATTTTGTAGTAATATTAAGAACTTAATACTATGTGCTAGGTACCATGGCAGGTGCTTTAGACAGTATCTTTCTACATTTTTCTAAGTGTTTCCCCACATTATTAGCCTTTTCCTGAGCTTTTGCCTTGGCCTCTTAAGCCTTGGGAAGCTAAAGACACATGGTCTAGAAATAACATAGATTGAAATTGACAAAGGAGTTACTCAGATTCGAGCAGGGCCATCTGCAGACATATCAGTTAGAAATTGTCTTTTATACCAGTCACATTAGCAGGAAGTTGTGTTTCATGATGCATTGGCCAGAGCCTTTGAATTCCTGAGTTTGAGACCCCTTCCCCTGGGCCAGAAAGGGTACAGCTGTAGCAAGAACTCCTGAGTATAACTGGAGAAGCTAGAATCAAGGACCACTCACGGGTAAACTACATATTCTTGTGAGAGACATTGGGGTGGGGGAACAGCTTACTAAAGTGTCCACTCATCTACTGTACTCCTGTCCCTCTGAAAAATGACTAAGCCATGTCATATAAAAACAGTCCCTAAGATCCCATGGTATTTCATTAACACCTGGGGCAGGTGTTATCATTCTAATTATACACAAGGAAACTATAACTCAGAGAGATTAAGTGCCTTTCCTGATGCCAAATGATTAGTAAGGGGATACTTAGAACTAGAACTTGGATTTACAATTGGTCAGACCAGGATTTTACTAAAAAAAAAAAAATCCCTCAAAAACTATAATTAAACACTGCTTTTTGGTGATTACCACTTCAGAAAAATAATTTGAGCAAGAAAGCACTTCGTGTTTTTACTTGCAAATCAATCCTTCTAAAGGTTATGCAGGTTATTTCTCTTTGCCTTCTTTCCATCCTGTCTTGTAGTCATTCATTCATTTAATTCGTCACTGATCCATTCATCAAACTTCGAACCAGTCCCTACTATTAGGAGACGAAAGAGCACATTTCAATTGGAGAGCTTTGGAGTCAGACTGCCTGGTATTGAATGATAGCTCTACTACTCACTATCTGTGTATCTTTGAGTAACTTACTTCACCCACTGTGCCTTGGTTTTTTCAGTAGTATATTGGGGATAATAACACTACCTGCCTCAGTGTTAGTATCAGATTAAATGAATTAATGCCAGAAAAGCTCCTAGAATATGTTTAGAACATTGTAAATACTTGATAAATGTTACCTGATATAGTCAGAGTTCTCCAGAGAAACAGAACAAACTGGAGAAAGGGGTTGGGGGGGGGGTTGGGGAGTCAGGGAGAGAGAGAGAGAGAAAGAGAGAGAGAAAGTCTGATTTTTTTTGAAGGAATTGGATCATGCAGCTCTGCTGTGGAGGTTGAGAAGTCCCAAGATCTGCAGGCAGCGAGCTGGAGGTGCAGAACAGCCTATGGTACAGTTCTAGTCTGAATCTGAAGGCAGGAAAAGACTGGTCAAGCAGTAAAAGCAGGAGTTCCCTCTTACTTGAAGGAGGGTTGGCTTTTTTGTTCTATATAGAACTTCAACTGATTAGATGAGGGCACCTACATTAGGGAAGACAATCTGCTTTACTCAGTCTGTCCATTCAAATGTTAATCTTATCCAGAAACACCCTCATAGACACATTCAGAATAATGTTTGACCAAATATCTGGGCACCTCCATCAACAGCCACGTGGTTGTCACTACTGGAATGAGCAGATTATATCTATCATTCACCTGGAATGTTCCCTACTACATGTCTCTTGGGCTGCTCTTTGCTGGGCTGATGGCTTGGAAGCTTCCTTGTCTACTAACTTACCATTTGAATTTGCTCTTGATGCATAACCTATTTTGTCTTCTATTTCATCTCACCTTGATGAAATTATATCATTATATCATTTGATATAATGAGGTGAGATGAAATATCAAACAGTATTCTTATTTAGGCTCACACTGACCAACTCTTCTGTCTTTCCACTGCTTGTTTGTTACCTGCATAGTGTCTCTAGGAGGAAAAAAATTGCCTTCTTATTGGAGTCCTTGTTTTCACAATGTTTAAGTCTCATCATTCTCTCTTACTCAAGCTGAAAATTTGATTAGTCTTTTATGTTCAAAGGTTTAGTAACCATGACCCTAATGGTCCTTTTTAAACTCTGAGAGGTCTTATTTCTTTCTGAAGTGGTACTAGTATCTTACTTTGTGACCTTAAGCAATTTTGCTTCCTGGGAATCAGTTTTGTCTTTTAGTAGCAGAGACATTTTACAGAAGAATTCGATTTGGAAGCCTAACTCATAAAGTAAATTAGAGAGGGATTGTTCTGATTGAAGTGTTAAGGCAGTGGAGATCTCACTGATTTGGTCTTCACCTGGTCATCAGTGGAAACCTATGAGGTGGGCTTGGGGAAAATAGTTCAAAAACATTGAATCAGAGAATTTGTAAGCTTTCTTGCAAATATAACACACCAGCATTCTATTCCATGTCATTGTTCTATGAATATACATAGTGCATGGCTATATTCCCTGTAGCCCTCAGGTCCTGCTATTGATAGCTCTACCCAGATATTTGTGGCAGGTAGAATACACTTACTTACTGAACATCTTTTTCTGCCTTTCTGATGTGCATTCCTGGATTGCTGAAACTGGAGAGTAAAACATATTTCCAAGATTCCTTTGCAGTTAGGGTTCCGGGAATGACTTAGAGTGTGCCAATCAGATACATTTTCTCAGGAATTAAATGGCAACTGATTGAAGTAGGGAGAAAGGTGATAGTGCATAAGGCATCCTTTCTTTACAGTGCAATCTAGCAGGTGCAGATTGGCTATGGAGGCAACACCTGTGGTGATGACTGCCTGCATCACCAGCTTCTTGTTAAGGCAGAGGCAACTGTTCTTCCAGAAGACTACTGCAGTATTGTTGAGTCTAGCATAATGTGAGGGAGGACAGACACACGTATTACACGTCTCACCTTCCATGCCCTTCTTTGGGCTCATTTCTTCAGCCTTCCAATGATTTTGTAAATGTCTAGTTCTCTGTACTAAATCCCCTCTGCATGAAATAGCTAGAGTGATTTCTTTTATCGCTTACTAAATCTCACCAGATGCAGTGCTCATTGGTCTTTACTAACTTCATTTCTTTGACATTCTCAGTGTCTACAGAGGAGCTGCAGGCCCATCCATTCACTGATGTTACCCTCTCCTGTCGTTTCTCCTTTGTGAAGGGCACCGAAAATCTTGAGTTTTCTTGGGAAAGAGAAGACATCAAAGAGGAATATGAGGTAGAGGATGATAAAGAAAATTACTTCTTTTTCAAGTACTATGATTTTTTTTTAAGTTTTCTCGAAGTGGTTTTCCAGTTTCACAATAACACAGAGCAACTGGAAGATCAAAACTCCTTGTATGAGGGAAGAGTATCTGTGGATCAGGCTGAAATTTCTGAGGGGACTCTATCACTTTTACTAATAAATGTGGATTTCATGGATGAAGCTATCTACAAGTGCTCAGCCATCACACCAGATGGAAGAGGTGAAAGTACAATTAAGCTAATGGTAGAAGGTAAGGAAATTTATTGAATGAACTTGATTTCAAGCTCTGTTTCTATTCATAAGTTATAATAGCAACAACTTATCTAGTTCCCTCACTTTTCCCCTTTTACTCAAATTATTATAAACTCTTCTTATTCCTATCATGTCAATTCATCTTAGCTAAAAATATTGCCGTGAGCAAAAGATGCCGTATCTATACCTATGTACATCATTCATTCACACAAACAAACAAAACATTAACAAAAACAACAACCACAACAACAACAAGCACTGGTCTATCAAAAACTCTACAAACAAGTTGTAACAGTGAAAAATCAAAATATGATATAACGTAACAGTCTTACATGAAAACACTGAGATATGACATGTGGTTTAGTGAGAAGAGCCCTGCCTTGGGAGTCAGGAGGCCCATATTCTAATTTTGGATGACTTTGGGCAACTCATTTAGCGTTTCTAGGCTTCACTTTTTCTCACTATTAAAATGTAGGTTGGACTGGATCAGTGGATCTCCGCAGTGATCCAGGGGTCCATACCCTTCACAGGATTGCATGAAGAGCTTTTTCCCCACCAGAGACTTTCGGGGACTGGGGAAGGCATGGCAGAATTCCTCCAGGATAAGAGTTGGAAGACATGAGAAGGTGGTGGTGGTAAGAATAATTCGTTATCTTCTGTGTTTCTCAGCAGGGTATCTGGAGTTCAGTGGAGAAACTGGAATGAATCCACTCAAAGAGGGGAAGTTTCCAAAAAATAAAGACAGCAGTGTTAGCTAAGAACTGAAAGGCAGGAGCATACATGTGTCCTGTTCTTCTCTTACTATGCTTGGATCAAAATTTTAACTACAGTGAACCTCAAGGTATGTTGCCTACTTAAGGGGTTAATGTAAAAAGCGAGAGCATGTTTTCTGCTAGCCTGAGCCTCTTGGGGCTGAAATAAAAGAGGAACTAATTGTTTTGTTATTTTTTCTGATCAGACTCTGAAATGCCCCAGGTGCAGTTTGACAGGATTGATGATGAGGATGTGGCCACATGCATCTCAAAAGGACTGGTACCTCACGCCCATTGTGACATGGCTGGACCGGGCAGGGAGGGACCTGAGCAACCACAGCATCGTGGAAATCCTGGAGGAGCAGATGAATGGCTTCTGCAGGGTGTTCCCCAACCTGAAATACCTTGTCAAGTTAAATGAGAAATATGTCTTCACATAACAGAGACAGATGTGAACAACCAGCTCTTCAGAATCATCCACAAGTACCCAAGTAAGTGCAAATCTGAAAGGAACAGTGAAAGTGGGGTGCATTTCACCACAAAAAAGTCACCATTCATTAATATTTACTGAATGTCAAATATATCAGGCATGCCTTGGCACTTTGGGGATTTAAAGAAGCATCAGGAACATATGCTTGGAGCCTTGGGCAAGATAAGATGGTGAAGTGGAGTCTCTTTGGGTTTGAAAAAAGAACATGCTTCAGGGACTGACAGCTTTCTCCTGATAGATGTGACTCTTACTATTGATGAGGCTTCTTTTCCTCTGCACAGAGCATCAGCTTTATGACACGGCAGGCTGAGTAGTCATAGTGCCCATTTATTAGCCTCTCACTGTGTGCCTGGCACTTTACACATGTCATTTTAATCTTTACCTGCATTTTAATTGTTATTACTGTCCCCCTTCCATATGAGAAAACCGACAAGTTAAATAATTTGGCTAAGGACATAGATAACAAGCACAAGTATCAGGATTCAAACCCATTCTTTCTGAATCTAAAGTTCATGCACTTCATTTTTCTTATACATATACCACACTGCACTTACAGATCTAAGACTATAGACTGCATGAATAGATCTAAGTCATATAAGTTCAGAGAAAGGGAGTCCCTGTGTAATAAGCAAGGAGGCAAGAAATGGAGTCACTGATCCCACTCATAAATCCTGGCCTGTATTTAAGTTGCCATATCAAAGGCTGTCTACATTCTGGGGAATCTTAATAGAGTCCTCCAGAGAAAATTTGATGGATACATTTTCATGTAGCTATTCTGTTACTTCTAAACCATCTAAACTTTTTCAAGTCAGGAATTTGAACAAAAAAAAAAAAAAAAAAAAAGCATGTTAAACAAAGAACAGGTACTTGCTGAACACATACCATATGCTAGGGGGGACCCAGGTACTTTTGCATAAGGTATTTAACCTCACAATGACCTCTGAGTTAGATACTAATATTACACTATTTAGCAGAGAAGGAAACCAAGGCTGAGAGAAGGTTAAAGTATTTACCAAAGGCTACACAGCTGGCAGTCTTAGAACCCGGGACTTGAACTCTCATCTAATTATTAACAAAAGCTTGGGCACATTCCACTGTGTGGTTGACTCGTGGGCCTTCAGTTCCTCATGTTAAAGTATCCGTAGCTTCAGGCAGAGGTCATTGATTTATTCTGCCACTTGTGACCTCACCTGCCTCTCCATCAAGAAGGAAGGGATGGTGATGAATAAACTTGCACAGTGAGCTAATTCCGTCTACTTACCTGTATCTCTGACTTAGAGACCCTTACTAAGACTTCTTTGGAGGGTTAGCTCTGGCAGGGACTTTAGCCATCATCTACCAATCACAGCATGTAGGGGTGAGGAAACAGAAGTCCAGAGAGGTGAATAATTGGCCAAGGTAATACAGCCTCTATACAAGAAGTATTAAGGGAGTCTGACTTCATGCAAAGGTTGGGCAGTTACCTTTCAGGTCTAGTCTGTATGGGCCTGGCAATTAATCAAAGCATTCAAAACACTATTGCAATCCTGGATCTCCCAGTAACTAGCCGTAAATATTTACAACCATTAAGAGTATTTATTTAAATTTTTAGTGACTTGGGAAAATATCCACACTATCATGTTAAAATTTTAAAAAGCAAAATAGTAGCTTGTATGTGTAGCATGAGCCCAAGTTGTTTAACTATATGGAGATGTAAATGATAGGATGTAATATTATTATTATCATAATATGAACAGTAATTACTGGTAACCTCTGCATGATAGGATTGTAGGCATTTTTTGTTTTCGCTTTTGTACTTGTGTTTTATGCAACATTCTATAATGAACATACATTATTTTTAGTCCAAAAAAGCTACATTTTTAAATATTTAAAAAATGTCTTTATGAAAAATGGTTTACATGCCATAAAATTCACCCATTTGAAGTGTACAATTTAATTGTTTTTGTATATTTATAAAATTGTGAAATCATCACCACTATATCATTTAGAACATTTTAATTGCCCTAAAAATAAACCCCATGCTCATTCACAGTCATTCCCCATATCTCCCAGTCCTAGGCAACCACTAACCTACTTTCTGATTTGCCTATTTTACATCTTTCATATAACTGAAATTATACAATATGTGGTCTTTTTAAACTGGCTTCTTTTACTTGGCGTAATGTTTTAAAGGTTCATTCATGTTGTAGCATATGTCAGCACTTCATTTCTTTTTATTTCTGGATAATAGTTTATTCCATTGTATGGCTATTACCACATTTTATTTATCTGTTCATCAGTTGATGAAGATTTGGGTTGATTTCACTTTTTGGCTCTGATGAATGATGTTGCTGCGAACATTCACATATACGTTTTTATGTGGAAATCTATGTTAAATTTCATTTATCTTGGGTATATACCTAGAAGTGGAATTGCTGGGTCATATGGTAACTATTTTTTAACCCTTTGAGGAACCACCAGACTATTTTCCAAAGCGGCTGCACAATTTTACATTCCTACCAGCAATGTGTGAGGTTACTGATTTGTCAACATCCTTGCCAGCACTCATGATCTTTTTTATTCTAGTCATTCTAGTGAGTGACATTTGAGGTTTTGATTTGTATCTCTCTGGTGGCTAATCTTGGGCATCTTTTAATATGATTACTGTTGCAATCCTGGATCTCCCAGTAACATCTTCTTTTGAGAAATGTCTATTCAAATTCTTTGTCCATTAAAAATTGATGATTTATCTTTTTATTATTGAGGTTTAAGAGTTGATATATTTTGAATACCACTCCCTTATCAAATATTTGACTTGCAGAAATTTTCTCCCCTTCTGAGTTGTCTTTTCACTTCCTGATGATGTCATTTGAAGCAGTAAATTTTCTGATTTTGATGAAGTCCAATTTATCTTTTTTTGTCACTTGTGCCTTTGGTGTTATATCTAAAAAATTATTGCCTAATCTAAGGTCACAAAAATTTACTTGTATGTTTTCTTCCAAGAGTTTTATAATGTTAGTTCCTACCTTCAGGCATATGATCCCTTTAAATTAATTTTTTATGTGGCATGAGATAGGTGTCCAACATCCCAGGACCATTTGTTCAAAAGGCTATTCTTTCCTCCATGGAATTGTCTTGTTGGCCTTATTGAAAATCAAATTACAAGGTTTATTTCTGGGCTTTCAATTGTATTCCATTGATCTATGTATCTGTACTTATGCCAGTACCACACTGTCTTGACTACTATAGCTTTTTAGTAAGTTTTGTCACAGAGGAGTGTATTCTTTTAACTTTGTTTTTCTTTTTGAAGATTGCTTTGACTATTCATATTTTGGCATTTTCATATGAATTTTAGGATGAACTTGTCAATTTCTGCCGAAAAGGCACCTGGGGTTTCAATAAGGAATGTATGGAATCTGTAGATTCCTTTTGGGATTATTGGCATTTTAATGATTTTAAGTCTTCCATCTATGAACACAGATGTTTTTCCATTTGTTTAGGTCTTTTTAAGTTATCTTCAGTGATGTTTGGCAGTTTTCGATGTATAAGTCTTATAATTCTTTTGTTAAATTTATTCCTAAATATTTTATTCTTTTTCATGCTTTGGAAATGTAATTGTTTTCTTAATTTCATTTTAGAATGTTTATTGCTAACATAAAGAAATACAGTAGATTTTTGTGGATCCCTTCATATTTTCTATATAGAAGACCATGTTATCTATGAATAAAAATAGTTTTACTTCTTCCTTTGCAATCTTGATTACTTGTATTTAATTTTCTTTCTAATTGCCCTGGCTAGAACCTCCAGTATAATGCTGAATAGAAAAAGTAAGAGTAGATCTCTGGGAGAAAGCATTCCATCTTTCATCATTAAGTATGATGTTAGCTGTAGGTTGTTGTTACTGTAAATGGATAATATCGGGTTGAGAAAGTTCTCTTCTGTTGCTTGTTTTCTGAGTGTTTTTATCATGAATAAATTTAGGATTTTGCCAAATGCATTTTCTGCGTCTGTTGAGATGATCATATGGGCTTTATCCTTTATTCTATTAATATGATATATTGCACTAATTAATTTTTGTATATTGAGCCAACTTTGTATTCCTGGGATAAGCCCTACTTGGTCATGGTATGTAAGCCTTTTTCTATATTGGTAGATTCAGTTTGGTAGTATTTTGTTGAAGCTTTTTGCATCTGTATTCATTTGTAAGAGATATTGGTCTGTAGTTTTCTTTTCTTGTGATGTCTTGGTCTGGTTTTGGTATAAGGATAATATTGGTCTCATAGGGTGAGTTGAAATATGTCCCTTATCTTCTGTTTTTTGGAAAAGGTTGTGCAGGATTGGTGTTAATTTTTCTTTTAATTATTTAACTTTTGGTTTTATTTTCCCTATTTTTCTATTCTCTATTTCATTTATTTCCATTCTAGCCTTCGTTATTTCCTTCCTTCTACTTGCCTTCGGTTTAGTTTTATTTTCTTTTTCTAGTAATTTCATTTGAAAGATTAGGTTATTGCTTTGAGATCTTTCTTCTTTTTTAATATAGCCATTTCCAGCTGTAAACTTCCCCCTGAGCACTAGTTTAGTTGTATCCATAAGTTTTGGTATGTTGGTATGTTGTGTTTTCATTTTCAGTCATTGCAAAATATTTTCTAATTTCTTTTGAGATTTCTTCTTCGGCCCATTGGTGTCTTAGGAGTGTATTATTTAACTTCCACATATCTGTGTATTTCCTAAATTTCATTCTGTTATTAATTTCAAATTTCATCTCATTTTTGAAAATTGGAAGTGTGAATTCTTCAACTTTGTTATTTCTCAAAAATTTTCTGAATATTCTGTATCTTTTGCATTTTCATATGAATTTTATGGTCAGCTTTTTCAACTTCTGGTCAAAAGCAGACTGGGATTTTAATAGGTATCATGTTGAATCTGCAGACCAATTTAGATAGTACTGTCTTTGGGTTAGTCTGTTTTGCATTGTTATAAAGGAATACCTGAGGCTGGATTACTTATAAAGAAAAGAGGTTTATTTGGCTCAAGGTTTTGCAGACTGTACAAGCATGGCACCAGCATTTGCTCA